GCTGCAGAGGGGTGGAAGGCACCCATCAATTGTAATTAATTGTTAATTAGTCAGGATTAGGAACTGGGCTCTGACACTCTCCCACCCCACCACCACCAAACTAGTGCAATCCAGCTGAGACCACATTTACATATCTTTAATTAAAGAGATGCCAGCTTCCTTTAAGAGCAAACCCTAAAAGAAAAGTAAGGCGCAGGCATGCTGAGAGGGAGGGCAGATGAGAGGTAGGAGACTTCCCTGTTAATGATCCTCAACAAACACTGATGGGTTACCTTGTTTGGCATAAAACTGATTCTGGGAACTAGCATGGCCTGTTACCAATGTTGAAGTAATTACAAGTGTTTCGTTTCAGCAGCAGTTCTACCGGTTATCTCGCTTCAAACAAAAACAAACTAAACATAGTAGTCTTAACAGCAAAGCATTTGGCGAAATGCTTGATCTGTGTTGTCCAATGGTCTCAACTTTTCCAATAAACCCACTGTTCTGGCCATAATGTGTAAATTGTGTTATTAAAACAAAACAACAAAGCACACTCAACCCAGAAAAAAGGGGTACATCCACTAGAGAAAATTCTCATTTCCACCAAAGAGAAACCACTCCCACTGGTGACAACTCTGTCAGAAGGGCCTTCAGAGGGGGGAAAAAAGAAAAGAAAACATACACTGAGAAGTCCATTGGCCCGCACACCATTAGGCCTCTGCTGAAGGTTGGAGAGCTCTGACTCCCCAGTTAGAGTTAGGCTATGTGCGTGTGGGGTGGGGGTGTCTGTCAGGGCCAGGGGTCTGTGTGATATTAGCCGTCTGCCAATCTGGCTTGGGGAATGGACACCAAGTAATTACTCCTTCTCTTACTGCCTCATCAATCTCCCTGTATCGCTCCTGCACCCCCTCAACACACACCCTTATCTTTTTTCATCCTTTTCTGCAAATGAGCCAGGCAAAGAAAAAAACAAAACAATTGAGTGGCAGGACAACACAAATCAAAGCAGATTCCTGAAAACGCCCATCTAATAGTCCTGTACTAATGCATAGTGAAGGTAACTATGAAACAGACTTTTTAAAAGAGAAATCACTGATTTTTTTTGATCAAGTGAGAAAGAAGTTCACCTATTCTCTTTTCAGATTGGACAGATGATAGAACTGAAAATGTAAATTTGGTAGTTTCACCTACATTACATTTTAGTCACAATCAATTTCTTATCTTCTTAATGCTTTTGAGTTTAAAAGATGCATGCTTCTCCTCATAAAAAATAATGAAATGCTTCCCTCAGGTTTCTAACAACACATAAAATGTTATGGCTGTTCAAAAATGGGCTCTCTGAAAACTAATAATAATTAAGTCTCTTTAATGAGGCATGGTATTCACTAGACTTTGAAGAACTGTACTCAGTCTGTAGAATACAAACATATAAATCATTCATGTGGTTCTAAAAGGGATTTTCCTTTACAATAATGGGAATATTACCAACTTGATTACACCACTGTGTGACATTCTGTTGTTAGATTTTATGCATGGCCAGGTCCAAAACAAAAAGTTTTTAAAATTAAAGTTAGATTTCTCAAGTTTATAAGGTGTTTAGCCCGGTGGCAAATAAACGTGTAACAACTATGTGCGACATTTACTTGTGTTGTTTCAGTGTTTTTACAACAACAACAAACAGGTCATAATTCACTTAATATGTCAGTGGGTCCATTTGGATTGTGAAATGACATTGTAATGCAAAGAAGTACCTTGAATAATGCAAATAAATTGAAGGTAATAATTTAATTAATGAATTAAAGGACTCTCGCCCGATGACTGACTGAGGCACAAACACTGCACTGGTGTGTCATAAGTTATAGGTAAAAGATAAGGCATGAACAACTTTAACAGTTTATTAAATACCTTAAGAGCTCTGGAAAGAACAACAATAATTATAAACATGGGCATGAGTTATAAAATGCCTGAAAATTAAGACTCTATTCTAAAAATGGAGTGACTAAAAAGTTGTTTTTTTTAAATGTGCAGGAAAATGGATTGGAAATGTGGCAGAGCCAAGCACCAATTAACCGGTTCCCATAACGCATTGTTTGAATACTGGCACAACTGGGCACGTACCAGAGTAACCGGCTCAGGTTAGCATCACACTGGCTAATAAACTTGATGTTAAATCCTTTTTGTTGTTGCTGAAAGGATTGATGGCCCATAAGATTTGATAATAGATACTTGCATATGATTCACATCCATTAGGGCCAACAATTAGGGGCCAGCAATTTCAGTCTTAGCCAGGTAGGATGGTAGTTAGCTTCTTATAAATGGTGGCAAACTAACTCATGGCACTATGCCACAGAGTTGTTTATCAGACAGCTTATCAACAAGAGTGGCAAGTGTTGGAGTGTGAACTTGTCCAAGTGAGTGGGAGGAGGGAGAGGCTCATTATACCGCTGTGTTGTCTCCAAGCCTAAAAACTATACAGCTCAAATTTCACTTGAAACTCTATTTTTGTTTTCATTTAAAACATTTCCAAAAATAAACAACGTGAATGTTCATGCTTGAAAAACAGGGACTTAAGAAGGTTATCAAAACAGAGTGAGTGACAGATTCACTGTTGTCATGTGTAAAGCACAAGGAATGCATAAAAGTGAGGAGAAATGCCTGAAACATGCCCGAACTGAATTTTAAAAAAAAAAAAAAAAACTTCTGAGAGTGAACTGCAGTAGCTTGTGAGAGATTTTGGCATAAGCTGTCCCATTGCACCAAGAGCTATTTTTACAGCAAATACCCATGAGAGCAAGGGGGAACAGAACTGAGTTGAAGCAAAGCCACTGGTTCTCAACTTTGATAATTTCTAGTCTCTTTCCAAGTGCTTTAATATCTTTTTTTTAAGTGTATCTTTAAAAAAGTATTAACAAGAATCAAATTTCACACAGACGGAGGTCATGTTTAATGTGAGAGCTCAGGACAACGCATGCACTGTTGAAAATAAGGGGTGTTTTGGGGTGGTGGCGGTGGGAGGGTGGGGGATACTGGCATTTGCGCAGAACATTTCCTTTACAATGAAAACAATCTAACCAACTGCAGCACTCAAAGGAATTCACCTCCCATCCCCCATGCCCCACCTCCCCTCCTCCACCACCACCATTACATTACCATATCAAAGCCCCGAGTTCAGAGCAAGTCTTCTCTTTCAAGAATGGGAGCGAGGCAGAGAGCGGGAGGGGGAGAGGACAAGACCGAGGCAGTAGGAGTAGACCCAAGACTGAGTTCGCTTTTATCCCTCTTTGGTGTGCGAGTATATGTGCAAGGGAGACAGAGTGTGTATGCGGGTGTGCCAGCTCAAGTCTATGTTTGTTAGCAAGAAAACACTGTAGAAAAATCAGTGGAGATACTAAAGGACTACTGACTGAGTCTTTCACAAGCTGCAATGAAGAGAAGTCAATTCACATTCCAGAGGCAGACAATGGGGCCTACAGGGGGTCTGAGTAGCAGTGAAATGCCAAAGCAGGTACACAGTGCAGTTAGGAGGGCACTTTGTGGCAGATGGCCAGCAGAGTACAGGCAAAGCCACAGATCTCTATTTCTCTTTGGTGCCATATTCACCTCAAGCATTAATCTATTGTTAACCTACCCTTATTCCTTGGTCTGTTTTTCTGCTCAGTTTACTGTACAAGTACTCATAGACCCTCTCTGTAGTTTGCAGGGAGACTAAATGTGAAAATCAAAGTGAATGGCATTAGGGTAAATAAGACCACTGGTTGCCTGGGAAACAGTGTACCCTGCCCCACTCACTCAAGCCTAGCCTTTACTTTTCTCCAATCACTGGAGAGCAATAATACATTATTGACAGAGGGCCACAACAGGCAGCAGTGCAGCATTTTCAAATTGTATTTGAACAACAGAGGCTTACAGTTAAAAGATACACAAAGACAGAGACAGAGAGAAAAGCATACAGAACACACGAAGGGAGAGAAACTGACAGAGAGAGTCAAGGGGAGAAGATTCGAAAACCCACACCATTCAAACTAACATAACCATCAATCTGCCATCCATCCCTGGCCTCCTCCTTTGAACGACACTAAAATCTGTCAGATAGCTGACTGGAATAGCTAACAAGATGAGAATAAGCAGCGTGTTTACTTTGAATACACATATACCTAGGTAATAATTTGCATCAGATTATGTGTATTTTAAAGTCAGCATTATTTGTTAAGATGGTGTCACAGTAGTAGCTTTTTAATGTTGTGTTTGGGTAAGAGTACTGCATTTATATGCATAGCAATTTATTCCAAATATACAATTACCCTACACTGTGTGGTGTAGCAGTTTTTATATAGTGGTGTAGAGAAGAAAATCTTTGTACTGAAATGGCATAACAATTTGACTGTAAAGCAATAACCCCTGTGAAGTTTTTCATATCTGCCGGCTTCTGAACAGCTGTGCATAAGCTTTCTATCTGGAACAGGTTTGATTATTTAAACGCAATATAGTGGTTTGTACTAGTAGTACTTGTAGGTGTTTTCCATGCCTTAATATAACAAACATTGTTGACATCAAATCAACTGAGACCATTTTTTGTCCCAAATGTTTATCATCTGGGAACTTACCAAAATGTAAAACTGTGACTGTGTTGCCACAGATGAAACGTGGTAACCAAGTTACAGTCCAATAAGTAAGATAACAGTTGTTAGCATGTTCTGCAAAAGGTTCTGCAGGACTCAAGTTTCAAAGGCACTAATCCACTAAGAATAGTTTCAGCTGGTCAGAGCAAAGTCTGGACGGTAGCCAAAAATAGGTTGAAGAAACTGTAAATACAAGGCCGGAACATACAACACTAAAGCACACATAACACACACACAATGTGTGTTTAATACCTGACAATAAATACTATCAATACAGTTGTGTATGGCACCATTATAACAATAACTTGGTGCTGGGGAATCTGGAAAAGATGCACTACATCTCAACACTGCTACAATTTGTGCAGAGTGGAGAACACAGTAAGGAGTGAAGTAGAAACTTACCCGTCTTCTCTTTGATCTCACAGAGAACACTGAAGAGGGCTGGCTTCATTCTGTGACAGTTCAGGGCATGCTTCCTGTAAAAGAGAAGAGGGAATAAGAGGGGGAGAGAGCGAGGAGGATTACAATAAACAGACCTCCATCTCAAGTCATTCCATGTCCTCCTCTATAAAACAGGTAGAGGAGCTGTATGTATTATGAATAGAGCATTTCAAGAATGCCATGCAACTCAGCGGGACAGAGTCATATTGTTTAAAGGCATTTTCAGTAGCCAAATGCATTTGTCGGTGCAAAAAACATTCCTGATGCATCAATCCGAACTAGCAAGAGTAATGTTGTCATTTGAATGCTTTGCACTATGGGGCAGGTAATGATGCCAAACCTCAAGGTCATCATTACTGAGCACCAGATTTCAGAGTTAATACACACTAATCTAATTTCTTCCTCTTAGAGAAATACTTGTTCCATGATAGTAGACAGTGAGTTGATAGAGATGACTAGGATTAAAATGCAATTTTAATTTAATCAAAGGCATTCTCTTTATTGCCAGACAGGCTAACGGCAATTAAATGAGATAAGGCAAAACTTCTACACTTCAATGTAATCAAATAATCAAAACACCTCAGCAACAGAATTTCCTGCCAAAAAACATCCATGCACCCACACACACACCCATACAGCTCATTAAAAACTGCAAGGATGGAGAAAAGCCCTGATCCTACTACGACCCTAAATGACTTTACACCATTGTTTCATATCTAAACTCTTTTACTGGCAGTGTACAATTAGTGTACAGAAAGAGTGAGTCTGTTAGTTGCTGAGCGAATATGGAGCTATAGTTCAAAAGTTTGTATTCTTTTCCCCACGCATCTGTAATTAACAAAAACATGTTAATTACAGTAAGCATGCAATAGACTACTGTGCCCTGTTAATCAAGTTGAGATGGTCATGGAGGTGTTCTTAATGCCCCCCTCAGTGCTCTTGCAATATTTAATTATCTTGGAATAATGGCTGTAAATTTGTGCACCCTGTGTATTTTTAAAGATTTGACCTATAAATTAATAAATCCATTTGGATGTGCTCAATGGGGAGTTCCACAAATCACCACAGTTACCATTTATAGTAAAAATGGGTTTAAATAGCAACAATGTTGATATGCAATTACATGAGCAATATACAGTTAATTTAGGTGATAAACAGCAAAGTCAACATGAAGTCTGTTAATAATGAGAATGAATTATGATCCTCCTTATAATAAAGAAATAAAGCATTTCTTTCCATACAACATCACTGATGACACATTCAAAACAACCACATATGAATATGATTTGGCTACACCTGACCTCAACACCAATTCCAGTTGTGAATCTTCACTGCAGTATTAATGAGGGGACTAGAAAATAGTGCACCCACTGTGCAAGCTGTTATATGTGTAAGGTATGTGTCTAGCACTAAATGTGTAATTTTATCCACCAATTCAGTCACTGCTGGATTTGAGTTGGGGGGAGGGCTGCCTTCAGCATGGTGGGTATGAGCACGAGGGGGAGAAGGGGGTGCTCATGCGGTCCTGTACTGACCTGTGCTGGAAGTTGAGTGGCAGGCCACCCCCTGCCATGCCCCCCCCTGCTCTCCCTCCCTCTGTGGGGTCGTCTGATCCACCCCAATGCGCCGGCGATTCCTCTGGCCAGTATCTGAACATATGGCGACAGGGTGAGAGGATGAGGGTGGATGGTGCGCAGGAAGTGTACTCTGCAACACCGAGTTCTTGCACTGCCCTGGCCACTCCCCATCCCAACACACTGCCACCCTGCATGACAGGGACGTCATGATCACATGCGAGCCCCCTCAGTAATTAGTGGATCATAACTGAAGGAATGATAGATGTGTGGGCGGCAAACTTTTTCAAAGTTAAGAATTATGTTGATAACAGCCATGGCATCTGCTCTGTATTAACAAATCTATGTGTATCAACATGGTCTGTGTTAGCCTGAATCTGATTATGATTTAGTCTGTTACGTGAGATGTAAAATAGAAAACAGCCAAACAAATACAGACTAACTGCAAGCAAGACTGTCAGTTAATGTTGAGCATACGGTTCTGAAGGTGTTTTATCCTCAGAAACGCCAGACTGTTATTAGCAGGAGTTTAGATCAATACAAGCACACAGGCAGGGACACCTCTGGCACTTCCGCAAGCAGCCACACCTTTAATTTATTTTTCAGAAAACCCTGTTAACACCTCAAAATAATTGTGTTACATGATTTCCAAAACTATATTTGGCTTTTTAAATACAAATACTCATTTTAGACATTATCTTACAGAAAACGACTCAACCTTTTTAAAATTTCAACAAAAATTCTAAGTTGAAGAAACAAAGTAGGAAGGGAAAAAAATTTAACCTTAAAAAGGAAAAACGAATGTAAAAATGTTTGAATTAATGAAGTGAAGCCCAATTAAGTCTTCAAACTTTTAGTGAAGAAAGGTAATATCCCAATGATCATAGGCTGCCAGTACAGCATCATCCCTCCCCCTCACCACCATCTCATTAATAGAAACTCGATTTGCGGACAGCTGCACTCGCGTACACATTATAGGAGAATTGATTGCACCCAGCACACAATGAAAAGGATGAACACCAGGGAGGGAGGGAGTGAAAGAGGAGTGAATTAATTAAGAGAACCAGGTGGTCAAATGTTGGGTGGAAAATCACTAGCTAATGACACATCACACTGTGGCCACAGTGTTGCAGTGGACGATTGCCTATTGTTGAAATACTGACGCTTCTTTTGAAACTGACCTTGTGCTCCTCAAGCCACATGGCAAATGAGTGTGGGTCAGTCACTCAGTGCAACGCACCATTTCTATAGGAATCATGCTTAAAAAGATACCTCTAACACAAACATCATTTGATGCATCATTTCAATGAGTAATTGCTGTCACAGACGGCACTTGGCTAGTCTGTAAAATTGACTAATCCTTTACCTTAATTTATCCACTCATTTGCACTTCAATACCCAATTTTACTGACACTAATTTGATGTAAACAACATTTCAGATACATACTGATAATTATTCTAACCTAATTTAGAATAGTAATGTTTAAAATGCACAAAAGATTTGGCATCATAACCAGAAGACATAATTACACTTAACTATGGCAACTTGCAAAAAATCCACCATCTTAAAAACCATTTTTACTTTTGATAATTCTGCGCCATCGATTCATAAATTTTCCTAAGATGCAGTGGGCAGAGGGTTTTTATATATAAACATATAAAGTTATTACAAAGTATATTTCAAGTTATTTTAAAACAATTTTTCCATACAACGAAAGTACAGGTAAGGCTGCACCAAAGTGTCTATGTGTGCGTTTTAAACGGCAACGACTGACCCAGAAATGGGGTAGTTCTTAAATCTGATACTTCATTGATTACCCAGTTAAGATTAACGATAGCCCCCTAACGTTATTTTAACCATATGGGCATGTATACAAACTACAGTTTGAAAAAACAAAACAAAAAAGCCAATCTGAAGTAACAAAGAGCTTCTAACAAACTACAACACTGTAATGAGACTATTCGAGAGATATTCTAAATGTACTTTAACGTTACTGCTTTAGCTGCAAAATACACTGTAACGTGAAGTTGCATTAATGTTGCAATTACGCATTACCTTACGTGAATGTTTCACACAAACAAATGAACCTAAAAACGAAGACATACAACTCACTTTAGCTTAGCTATCATGTGTGGAAAATGGCTCTTCGGTTGTCTTACCTGGCCTGTGCTTCGTCCAGGCTTTCGTCAGTGATGGCCATTATTTGCTGTAGGATATCCCCTATGTCTTGTTGAGGCTGACCGAGGGACTGTTGTTTTCTGACCGAGTCTGGGTCACCAACATCGGCTTGTGCTAGTCCACCTAGTCCGGTGAGACCCGTCATCATCCTGGTCTGGTCATCCATACTTTCAAAGGAAACTCGCCGTTTTCCTCCGTCGAAGAATACACACAAATAGCTAGCCTATTAGCTAGCCAGCAAAGTATTTTCTACGACAAATCATACAACACCGCTTACGGTACCGACAGTGACGATCAGCAAATAATTGGGGACTGTTGTCATAAAACAGACTATACAAATACGCTTTACATTCGTTTGTCTTTCCCCCCCCTCCAGTCAATAAACGCGGCCAGGCTAAAGTTAGCTAACCACCGACTGAAAAGCAGCTAGGTTAGTAGCTGTAGCCCAGCAGAAAAGCAGCAGCAGGGACACACATGCACAGACTGTGTGAGCTTGCCAACAGCGTCTCGCACATTGTCGGAAAAAATGTAAAGCGAAAAAATAAAAGCACGGACGGACACGCGGGTATTAAAAATAAAATCCACCAATTCAAGAAAAAACAAAACAGGATTAATAGAGTTTCAGATCATGTAGCTCCAATCCGAAATCTCCTATCAAAACAGACTACGGTTTGCCATTGTTGTTGATGTCGCGCGAGTACGTGGGATGTTCTTATCTGCGCGAGTGGTGTGAGTCGCCTTGACCATTAAACTCATAGCACCACAGAGTGCGAGCTAGCGGGTGGGTCCATTAGCAGCCCATATAGTACAACAGGAACGAAAGCTAATGATATAGATAACCTCACTACACTGCCACATTACATTTAAAGCACATGCTTCCAGATACTAGAACTGGATTATTCCTTCAGGTGACCAAGCTCACCTCGTGCACGACCTTTACAAATTGATAGCCCCTTACGTCACCAGAACTGCTTGTTCTATTGTAATTGGTTAAAGCTTTTTTTTTCTCCCTCACTGATATCGGGTAAAATCATGCACATTTAAATGTCAGGGATGGGGATAGTGATGGATATATATATATATATATATATATATATATATATATATATATATATATATATATATATATATATATATATAACACTGTAAATAAAACAAATAAATAAGGTGTTACCGCCTCAGTGACTGTGCCATGTTATATTTGTTGGACCAAGTGCAAAGTATGCTGGTGCATGCTACTAAAAAGCCACAGTCTATTCTTGCCCATGAGTAAGTTAAGTGTATTAAAGGAATGATTTGTTCCTCGTGTGTGGTGTCACACACTGTATTAAGGTGTACCTAAAAGTCAATTAACTTTATGTACGCATATATATGCCAATTTCACTTGCAATATTAAATCCCAAAGCAGAACAGCCCAGGCTTAAAATATCGCCTGTCCCGAACCCCCTATGAATGAAACAACCCATCAGTTTTCAGTATGAAAATGTTGACAGCAGATTGAAAACAAGTGTCCTTGTTTTTTGCAAACTGGGCAATTCTGCTGTAGTTTATCACTCAGATCAGAGAGACAGCTTTCCAAGACGAATGGCTGACTGAATGGATGTGGAGGAGAGTTGCACCCAGCCTTGCTATACTGAGAAGAGATGATGGGTGTACATGAGGGAGTATAGAGCAAACTGGCAGTGGTTTATGCTGACTCTCCAACCATCCATCCACTACAATCTGTAGCTAATCAATCTAAAGTTAGAGACAACAAGAATAGAATATACAGTAAACCTACACAGTAATTGGTCTTTGCATGTGCAGGCGGTACAAGTCATGGTTCAGGTGTTATACACAGTGGCTGTACACAGTGCAGTTCTTACAAAGTTGTCTTTTTCTTTTTGATACAACCACACCTCTAACCATATAAACATTTGGGTTTAAACTACATAACAAATATAAAACGGGTTAATGAACTTTTTCTTGTCGCTTCTAATAATAGTATAAGAACAAGAAGGAAGCCTGTATACAGAATAATTTAAATAATAGGTACTTTAGAGTGTCTTCTTCTATAGAAGAAGACACTCTAAAGTACCTATTATTTAAATAGACATTGCACCAAAATCAAACGCTTCTAACATGCCAGTTATTGAAGTTTCTTTTGTTTTTTAAAGCAGCAGTGTATCATACAATTTTAAGTAACTGGCCCCTAAAGTCATTTTCCGTCACTGTCAAGAGACCTCCCTTGACAGTAAAAAGGCTGTCATTGGCTCTGTAAACTTTGGTTGTTTTATTGTTGGTGATTCATTTAAGGATCATTTCTGTGAAACTTCTATTCATTTGGATGCTAAAGCTGCCCTCCTCTCACCCCACAAGCATCAAGCCTCATTTTCATCTAAATAAGAATCGATCTCTCCTGCTGTGCACCGTCCTCCCTTACTCACAGCTCTCACGGTCACAACCCCACTTGTCTTCTCTTTGCTTGTTCCTATGCTAGAGAGCACAGGGACAAGCATCACTCTCCTGAATACATTTAGATGGAAAATTCGCCATACTCCATGTTTGAGATCACAACTGCAAAGCAGAGGAAGTAATTTACTCTTATTTAATGCTGGCAAAAGGGGGGCGGTGGGATTTCTTGCTGTAGTCATCAGAGAAGCAAATTAAGCATGAACATTAATGAGTAAATGAGTCCAAGACATCGGAGAGACAGCGAACAAAGCTTTGACTGACTGGTACAATGTCAAAGCTTCGTTCTGCATCAGTGACCAAGCCAAACGCAAGAGATGGGGGTGAGTCACTGTGGGGGAGGGGCCTCCTCCTGAATGGTCAGGGGACACTGATGAAGTGAAATAGATGCGGCACCGAAAGGAGAGCAAATGTGACTGAGGATGAGCATATGAACCCTGAATAATCCCAAATGAAAATCCACCTGTATTCAATCGCTTGCGGTTTTCCAGTAGTACAAGTCAATTCAAGCTGCTAACGTATTTCATTTCTGCATAGTTTACTGACATCATTTATACTATACTGACCATGTGTACTTACCAAATTCTTTCGGTTATCATTGGTGAGAATAATTATAGTATAGTAATAGTCAAACCACTTCAAAAGCTGTCACATCAAATGCACGCCATTACTCTTCACTCAATAAATACAATATTAGTTTTTGACTTTGATACAAATCACCTCAGACAGGTCATCAGCTCCTGGATGTGGGGATTTCTTGCAGTTTGTTTTTTTTTAAATTGATGAACAAGCAGTAACCTTTATTTTGCAGGATTGTGACAATCTTTCACAAACAACTTTTTATTATCTGCCAGTCTTAGCAGTCACCGGTTTTTACAGGTGAGAAGTACTTAATTAAACCTTGACGTAAAAACCGCGCTGGCGATTTACCAAGCTTATCACAACTTTATATAGCCAGCTACTGCCATCTGCTGGTCAAGCACAAGCATTACCTGAACAACGCCCATCACCATTTCTACTTCTGACTGAAACAGCCTTATTTGACTTGGAAAACATTAGAGTTGACTTTGTCATGAAACAAGACATCAAATCAAGAAAAATCACATACTGGTCAAATTAACAGAGACACATACAAGCATACTATATAAGCCAAACAAAGCCATGGTCCACCAGAAGCCAGACTGCTAATGATTTCCTTCCTTATGAAGTTGCAGAGGATAAAGGTGCTGTCATAAGATTCCTGAGCACGTCAGATGAAAGATCCTGAAATCCAGCCTTTGCCGCTGGTAGAAAAAGAAATCATATTGGTCAGTCAGTTCATTAAACCCTTGTCTAATATGCCTAAACAGTTGCATGCTAAAAAAAAATAATGACAAAACTATTACCCAGCCGGCCACTAGTTTCTTTCACCAATAACTGAGAGTGTGTTTTGATAGACAGAAGCTCTCTAACCATCTTACATTGTGTGTCCATCTAAAGGCAAAGAAGAAGAAGAAAAAAACAAAACCTCATTGCATAGCATTTGCAAAACAGATGAATATAGTTCTGAAGTTAAGGCGTTTTTATTTGATTTGATCCTCTTCCTATTTGACTGTTCATGTATATGCTCTTAAAATAATCACAAATAATCACACTAAACTCACACTAAAATATAAGCAGCAATAAGAGTTAAAGTTTGTAACTTAGATGTTAAGTGCCCAAAAGCCAGCACATGTACTCTGGTTAATCAAGGATGTGTAGCTCACATTGCTTTCAAGTTTTCTAGTGATGATGATTTAAATAAAAAAAAAATAAAAAAAATAATCCAACATACAATCATGGACATGGTGTGAAGTAGGGGTTGTTGTTTACACAGGACAGCCTGGTAGTCAGGTTTACTCTGTATGAAAAGGTGCTGTGAGGACTGGGCCACTGATGTAGACTCTAGCGATACACCCGTCTCCTGGCCATTCTCCACCTTCCTGAAATGAATAAAGGAGCAGATTACCAAGAAAGTTTTGAGAAGACAATAATGGAACATTAATGAGTCAGTGATATAGTAATTCTTCAATAAGAACAAATATATTCACATTTCCAGTTCCTTTGCTTTGTTTCTGTGTTTGTTCAGCAGTGTCTCCCAAGATTCGCTTTCAGCCTGAAGCCTAAAACACAAGAGTTAGTTGAAAAAAATTTATGTTGCTTTAATGAATACCATGTGGCTGACTGGTAATTTCTTTAAATGGCTATAAGGGCATAAAGAACAACATGCCTGTTAATGGCTCTTTGGTATTTTTCCATGGCTTTTTGCACTGCGGGGTTACTAGATCTAAAAGCAAACAGAAGCAAAAAAAAAAAAAAAAACACTAGAAAATAATCAGTAAGTATGGAAAAAATAAAAAAATTATAATCCATGTGAATTACTGGATACATAAATTACAACTACAATACCTGGCTGCACTAGAAGGTTGTTGATGTGTTTCATTATGTAATGTATCGGCCAGGCAACCCCACTCTTTCTGGATGTGCTCAACTATGCAAAGAAAGGCCAGGAAAATAGACAGAATATTTCTGTATCATACAATAAAGAGCCTCAAATCCAATGTATATCAAATGAACACCAACCTTGTTTTTGAAAAGTCTCCAATGAGGCATTTGGCACTGACTGAAGCTGATTTTGAGTTCTTCCTATTGCCAACTAGGGATAAAACAGATGATTAGGTGGATAACCTTGAGGAATCTTGACAATTCACTACATGTGCTCCACTAAAGTAATGCAACCAAGATCTTTCCAGTTAACTGTGATTGTAGCTGAATGATTTTACACAAATGGCTTTATTTCTCCATTTATTCAGTCAATTTTCTAAATGTGCGGTACGTTTAAAAGCACACACACAAGCTTTAGCAGTGAGATGAACAGTATAACATTGCCCCTAGTTATTTAAATTTTCAGTTTGTTATAGCTAATGTTCTTAAGATCATACCTTCATCGAAGCCTCCATTAATTTCACGATCCTCTCATGGTGTGATAAGGATGTGCTTATGTTTCCACACAAAGCTGTCGTAAACACATAGATAAATGTTTATATTGCAGGGGGAAAAAATGAAGAGGAAGAAGAAGAAGAAAAAAAAACACTCCATGACCATACTTTACAATGGGCATAAAGCCTCACATCTCACCCTGATATGGATTGGGAAGGGCAGGGAGAGATCTTCGGCTTATAGTAAACCTCCTCCAGGATTTCCTGTGTGCAGTGGGGCTCACAGAGGACCCTGTATGCTCATCACTATTTTCTGGCTGAACCTCTTGGACGTCTATGTCTGGTTGCCCTTTTGCCACATCTGGCGTCTCTGTTGTGGGTGATATCATGTCGGTACGGGGAGACTTGGGTGGGGGAGATGTACCGGGACTTGTGGGAGAGCATCTTTTCGAAGACTGTTTCCCTGGGTTGGCCTTGGTAAACACAGGTTGAAAAAC